TCCATAATGCAGTAGTTGCAATTCACAGCTCGAGTGCTCATTTCAATAAATGTTTCATTCTGCGATACTGGAGAGTCACCCCTGACAACTTGTAATGTTCAACCACATTATTCCCAATTCACAGACTGAATCTAGAAACACGAGCCCTTTCCGATTCACAAGTCACCCTGCTTCTAATGTGTCCTTTTGCACATCAAAATACATCAAATTCCCATCTCATGTAGCAGCACCAACCCACCCCCCCCCCCGCCCACCCGCCCGAACACACACACACACACACACACGAACACACACACCCACACACGCATATACACACACGCGCGCACACATTAAATGATGATCCTGAGAAACGAAATCGGTGTTTTGCAAATCATCCACCACGCACGCAGCGTCTTTTGTACCAGATAAACCAACCGATTAATCGTCAACGCCCCCCCCCCACCACCCCCGCAAGTTTGAGCAAAATATTATTGAGCGGCATTTAAAAGCCTGGACGTAGGAAAATCTGTATCGCGAGTGACATCCAATGCCGTTCGATCGCACTAAATCAACCTTCTCGGCGTAAAACGCCAAACCAGAATTGTATTTAGGTTCAACTGGTGTTTTAAACAAAGATGTGACGAGGGCACACATATGGACAACTTCAAACTGACAGTTCAACGGGGGACCAGAGAATGGAGTTCGTTAATAACACATGAAGCAGATTAACCCTGTGCGGTTTGTTTACCAAAAAAAAAAATCCTGCTCTCCCTATTCATTCGGCTTCCGACTTGTGCCCTTTCAGACCGTTAAATACATATGTGTGTGTGTGTGTGTTTGTGTGCGTGTGTTGGTAAGGTGGGGGGGAAGGGGGGGGGGGGGGAGATAGGTCCACCCTATAACGGGTTACACACACACACACACACAGATATAATACAATACAAAATTATATTTGTTCAGTAAATTGAGGCTGATTCAAATGCTATCAAATATGCTATTAAACTTCATCGCCCCCCCCCACCCCCTCTCCTCCCCCCAACACAGATCTGTTGGCATTCCTAGGTTGCTCTGTGTTTAAATGGTCTGTCTGGATGGCAACGAGGCAATGTGTACAGCGGGGTGGGTGGGGGAGGGAGAATCGAGACCAGAAAGGGTTAAAATACATCAGTCGCGATGCAGTCGTTGGTTTGACCTTTACCAAAGGAGAGAGAGAGAGAGAGAGAAAGAAAGAAAGAGGGAAAGAGAAGGAGAGAAGAGAATAAAACTTCCTCTGTCGGGGCTTGGCTTCTAATAATAATAATTCCTTCTCTTTTTTTTCCTAATTTTTTTTGGGGGGAGGTTGGGAAATAAAAATATTGGGAATTGGGAGGCATTGAGGCACAAACGGCACGAAGATAAGATTCCAGATAAATATCAGCCTCTTCCCAAATTTGTGGACCATATGAACTGGCAACGGGGCGGGGGAATAAAGCAACAGACACGCTTGGAGAGAGAGGGAAAACATCCTAATATTACTGCAAATATCTCCGAATTAAGGGAGATTAAGCACTCCACTCAATGCAGCCATCAATCGTCGACTTCTGAAACGCTTCCCCTTACAAGCAGTCACGAAATGGGTCATTTTTTTCTCCCCACCCACACACGGCACCATCGGATAATTCATCGATTAATACAAATGTGTGCGCGTGTGAGTGTGAGTGTGTGTGTGCGGTTTCATTCATTCGGATTTGCTCCCGACCGGAAAGAACTAGAGTACTGCACATCAGGGAAACAGACTGCAAAGAGCAATGGATGTCATCCATCTATCCATCCAGTACCAACCAACCAACCAACCAACCAACCGCCCCCCCCCCCACCTCTCTCTCTCTCCACCACTCCCCTCCTGGCAATGCTCAATCCCCCCCAAAAAACTTATGTTATTTGCAACCCTTGCACCATCACACGTCGATGCCCACTGACTGGCAGCAGGAGAGCTGGCGCCCACCAACACTGCCAGGCAACATTCACTGCCAAGGCAGCCGCATCCAGCTTAAGAAACATGACCGTAATTAGCATCTCCCCCCCCCCCACCCCCCACCCCCCCAGCCCCAGCCACACCGAGTCATGTCCTTAGCCTTTCCGCCTCCCCTCCCTTTACATCTAAACCGTAACCCACTCCACTGCCCCATCACATTACGCCAAGTTAGGTACAATTTCCCCCATTGCTTCTTCTGTTTCCCCTTCCTCCCCCCTTCCTCCCCCCACCACCCCCAAAAAAATATATGTTTAACAACACCTATATATATATATGTATACACACACACTCACTCACACACATATTTTAGATGTGCATCTACATAAATGACTGGATTTTGAATTGCCATTTATATGATTGTTCATCTCTCTCTCTCTCTCTCTGTATCCATTATAATGCATCGAAAATTGCTGTTTTTTTTACAAAAAACACACACACACACACCTCCCACAAGCTCAAATATACTGGGGGGAGAGGAAAGAGAGGGGATATATATATACATATATATATAGAGAGAGAAAATATATATATTTTTACACACACACACACAATTTTGATGCTTGAATTGCCATAAATCAAAAATGATGTCAAGTTTGCCTGTCCTTGCTCTCTCTCTCTCTCTAAATATATATATATATATATAATATATGCATCTCCCCACACACCCCTCGCCCTCTTCTTCTCCCCATTTCAAATCCAGGCAGAAGGGGGGAGACAGAGAGAAAGAGAGAGAGAGAGAGAGAGAGAGATGGAGGGGTGGGGGGGGGTGGTATAAATTGCAATAAAATCATATCTTGTACAACAACACTCACAGCAGCAGCCACAACCCCACCCCCCCCACCCCACCCCCCAATAAAACAAAATCCTTTCCCTGTTTGAAACCGTTAACAGGGAGGAATAGGGCAAAGCCATAGCCCAGCCCTGGAAGAAAAAAAATATTATTTTTCCACCTCCTTGGCCATCAATCTTAAATGAAGTGTCAGCTGAAAGCAGACACTGTATCATTAACACTGTACCTTGGATGGATAACACACATATATATACACATACACATACACACACAATTAAACTGGGAATTATCTGTTATTCTGTGTGTGTGTGTGTGTCTATATAATATATATTTTAATAATAATATTTTTTGAGTGTCTGTGTTGTTGTTTCATACATATATAGACACACACACACACAATGAAATTGGGGATTATCTGTTAGTGTGTGTGTGTGTGTGTGTGTATATATATAATAGATATTTTAATAATAATTGTTCAGTGTATGTTGCTCCATTTCATACATACACACACACACACAATTAAACTGGGGAGTACATGTTACTCTGTGTGTGTGTGTGTGTGTGTGAGAGAGAGAGAGAGACACTGAGTGTGTGTATATATATATATATCATAGATTTTTTAATAATAATAATAATTTCAGTGTCTGTGTTGCTGTGTTTCATACACATACAGACACACACACACACACACAATTAAACCGGGGAGTACATGTTACTCTCTGTGTGTGTGTGTGTGTGAGAGAGAGAGAGAGACACTGAGTCTGTGTGTGTGTGTGTATATATCATAGATTTTTTAATAATAATATTAATAATAATTTCAGTGTCTATGTTGCTGTGTTTCATACACATACAGACACACACACACACACACACAATTAATGTCTGTTACTCTGTGTGTGTGTGTGTATTTATGAAACACAGCAAACACAGACCTCTGGCAAATATTAATTATTATTTAAACATGTATTGCATACACAGAGATGCAACAAAAAAACACACACAACACACACACAACACAGAGAGAGAGAGGGGGAGAGGGAGAGAGAGAGAGAGAGATGGGGAAGAAACGAGGGCAGAGGCAGGAAACCATGTGGATTGAGCAGAGAAGAAGGGAAAGTGGGGAAGGAAAGGAAAAGGAAAAGGAAAGGAAAGGAAAGGGAGGATAAAATCCAAGAGGGAGAGTAGGGGGAGGAGGAGAGAGAGGAGAGAGGGAGAGGGGGAGAGGAGGAAGAGAAGAGAGGAGGGAGGGAGAGAGAGAAGAGAGGAAGAGGGGGAGAGAAGAGAGGGGGAGGGGGAGAGGAGGAGAGGGGGAGAGGGGAAGAGAAGAGAGGAGGGAGGGAGAGAGAGAAGAGAGGAAGAGGGGGAGAGGGAGAGAAGAGAGGGGGAAAGGGGGAGAGGAGGGAGAGGGGTAGAGGAGGAAGAGAAGAGAGGAGGGAGGGGAGAGAGAAGAGAGGAGAGGGGAGAGGGAGAGAAGAGAGGGGGAGAGGGGAGAGGAGGGAGAGGGGGAGAGGAGAGGAGAGGAGGGAGAGGGGGAGAGGGGAGAGGAGGGAGAGGAGAGGGAAAGGGGAGAGGGGGAGAGGAGGGAGAGAAGAGAGGGAGAAGAGAGGGAGAGGAGGGAGAAGAGAGGGAGAGAAGAGAGGGAAAGGAGAGGGAGAGAAGAAGAGAGGGAGAAGAGAGAGAGAGAGAGAAAGAGGAGGGAGAGAAGAGAGGGAGAGGAGAGGCAGGAGAGAGGGAGAAGAGGGAGAGAAGAGGGGGAGAGGAGGAAGAGAAGAGAGGAGGGAGAGGGAGAGAAGAGAGGGAGAGAGAGAAGAGAGGGAGAGAAGAGGGAAAGGAGAGGGAGAGAAGAAGAGAGGGAGAGGGAGAAGAGAGAGAGAGGGGGAGAGAAGAAGAGAGGGAGAGGGAGAAGAGAGAGAGAGAGAGAGGAGGGAGAGAAGAGAGGGAGAGGAGGGAGAGGGAGAGAAGAGAGGAAGAAGAGAGGGAGAGAAGAGAGGGAGAAGAGAGGGAGAGGGAGAAGAGAGGGAAAGGGGAGGGAGAAGAGAGGGAGAGAAAAGAAGGAGAGAAGAGAGGGAGAGGAGGGAGAAGAGAGGGAGAGGAGGGAGAGAAGAGGGGGAGAGGAGGGAGAGAAGAGAGGGAGAAGAGAGGGAAAGGGGAGGGAGAGGGGGAGAGAGAAGAAGAAGAAGAAGAAGAAGAAGAAGAAAAAGAAAAATGTGCTTTTACCTTCAGATAACTCCAGGTCCAGCTCCGCCAGCCTCGCCCTGACATCCAGAGGGAGAGCCACACTGTCAAGGCTCCGGTCCGCCATTCTCTCTCTCTCTCTCTCTCCCTCTCCCTCTCTCACACACTCCCTCTCTCCTTCTTCTCCTCCTCCTCTTTGTGCGTCCGAAGCCCAAACAGCGCTCTCTCTCTCTCTCTCTCTCTCTCTCAGCAGTTCACACGGTGGTGAGGCACAGCCATCGTTAACCTGAGACGGTGTTACCCCCTCACACAGCACTGCGCGGCACTGCACTGCACTCCCCCCTCCACCACTCACTCCCCCTCACTCCCCCTCTCTCTCCTCACTCCCCCTCTCTCCTCACTCCCCCCTCTCTCTCCTCACTCCCCCCTCTCTCTCCTCACTCCCCCCTCTCTCTCCTCACTCCCCCCTCTCTCTCCTCACTCCCCTCTCTCTCCTCCCTCTCTCTCACTCTCTCCCTCTCTCCTTCCTCCCTCTCACTCCCTCTCTCCTCACTCCCCCTCTCTCTCCTCACTCCCCCCTCTCTCTCCTCACTCCCTCTCTCTCACTCTCTCCCTCTCTCCTTCCTCCCTCTCACTCCCTCTCTCCTCACTCTCTCCCTCTCACTCTCTCTCCTCACTCCCTCTCTCCTCTCACTCTCTCTCCTCACTCCTCTCACTCTCTCTCCTCACTCCCTCTCTCCTCTCACTCTCTCTCCTCACTCCTCTCACTCTCTCTCCTCACTCCCTCTCTCCCTCTCACTCTCTCTCCTCACTCCTCTCTCTCTCCTCGCTCCCTTTCTCCTCCCTCTCTCTTTCCTCTCTTTCTCTCTCCTCACTCCTTCTCTCTCTCCTCACTCCCCCTCTCCCCCCTCTCTCCTCACTCCCTCTCTCTCTCTCTCTCCTCACTCCCTCTCTCTCTGTCTCTCCTCACTCCCTCTCTCTCTCTCTCTCCTCACTCCCTCTCTCTCCTCACTCCCTCTCTGTCCTCACTCCCCCTCTCTCCTCACTCCCTCTCTCTCCTCACTCCCTCTCTCTCTCTCTCCTCCCTCTCTCCTCACTCCAGCGCCATGTCCCACTGCTGTCTGTCTGTCTGTCTGTGTGTGTGTGTGTGTAAGAGAGAGAGAGAGGGGGAGAGGGAGGGAGGAGCTCAGTGTCTGTGTGTGAGAGAGAGAGCTCAGTGCCTGTGTCTGTGTGTGAGAGAAAGAGAGAGAGAGCTCAGTGTCTGTGTGTGAGAGAAAGAGAGAGAGAGCTCAGTGTCTGTGTGTGAGAGAGAGAGAGCTCAGTGTCTGTGTGTGTGTGTGTGTGTGTGAGAGAGAGAGAGAGCTCAGTGTCTGTGTGTGAGAGAGAGAGAGCTCAGTGCCTGTGTGTGTGTGTGTGAGAGAGAGAGCTCAGTGCCTGTGTGTGTGTGTGTGAGAGAGAGAGCTCAGTGCCTGTGTGTGTGTGTGTGAGAGAGAGAGCTCAGTGCCTGTGTGTGTGTGTGTGTGTGTGTGTGTGAGAGAGAGAGAGAGCTCAGTGTCTGTGTGTGAGAGAGAGAGAGCTCAGTGTCTGTGTGTGTGAGAGAGAGCTCAGTGTCTGTGTGTGTGAGAGAGAGAGCTCAGTGTCTGTGTGTGTGAGAGAGCTCAGTGTCTGTGTGTCAGACAGACAGACAGACAGACAGACAGACAGACAGACAGGAGCTCAGTGTCTGTGTCTGTGTGTGAGAGAGAGAGCTCAGTGTCTGTGTGTCAGACAGACAGACAGACAGACAGAAGCTCAGTGTCTGTGTGTGTGAGAGAGAGAGAGAGAGCTCAGTGCCTGTGTCTGTGTGTGAGAGAAAGAGAGAGAGAGCTCAGTGTCTGTGTGTGTGAGAGAGAGAGAGAGAGAGCTCAGTGCCTGTGTCTGTGTGTGAGAGAAAGAGAGAGAGAGCTCAGTGTCTGTGTGTGTGAGAGAGAGAGAGAGAGCTCAGTGCCTGTGTGTGTGAGAGAGAGAGAGAGAGCTCAGTGCCTGTGTCTGTGTGTGAGAGAAAGAGAGAGAGAGCTCAGTGCCTGTGTCTGTGTGTGAGAGAAAGAGAGAGAGAGCTCAGTGCCTCTGTGTGTGTGTGTGTGAGAGAGAGCTCCAAGTGTCTGTGTGTGTGTGTGTGAGAGAGAGAGAGCTCAGTGCCTGTGTGTGTGTGTGAGAGAGAGCTCAGTGTGTGTGTGTGAGAGAGAGAGAGCTCAGTGTCTGTGTGTGTGTGTGAGAGAGAGAGAGCTCAGTGTGTGTGTGTGTGTGAGAGAGAGAGAGAGCTCAGTGTCTGTGTGTGTGTGTGTGAGAGAGAGAGAGAGCTCAGTGTCTGTGTGAGAGAGCGAGAGAGAGAGAGCTCAGTGCCTGTGTGTGTGTGTGTGAGAGAGAGAGAGAGAGCTCAGTGTCTGTGTGTGTGAGAGAGAGAGCTCAGTGTCTGTGTGTGAGAGAGAGAGCTCAGTGTCTGTGCGTGAGAGAGAGAGCTCAGTGTCTGTGTGTGTGAGAGAGAGAGCTCAGTGTCTGTGTGTGTGAGAGAGAGCTCAGTGTCTGTGTGTGAGAGAGAGCTCAGTGTCTGTGTGTGAGAGAGAGAGAGAGAGAGCTCAGTGTCTGTGTGTGAGAGAGAGAGCTCAGTGTCTGTGTGTGAGAGAGAGAGCTCAGTGTCTGTGTGTGAGAGAGAGAGCTCAGTGTCTGTGTGTGAGAGAGAGAGCTCAGTGTCTGTGTGTGTGAGAGAGAGAGCTCAGTGTCTGTGTGTGTGAGAGAGAGAGCTCAGTGTCTGTGTGTGTGAGAGAGAGAGCTCTGTGTCTGTGTGTGTGAGAGAGAGAGCTCAGTGTCTGTGTGTGTGAGAGAGAGCTCAGTGTCTGTGTGTGTGTGAGAGAGAGCTCAGTGTCTGTGTGTGTGAGAGAGAGAGCTCTGTGTCTGTGTGTCAGACAGACAGACAGGAGCTCAGTGTCTGTGTATGTGTGAGAGAGAGAGAGATAGAGCTCAGTGCCTGTGTCTGTGTGTGTGAGAGAGAGAGAGAGAGCTCAGTGCCTGTGTCTGTGTGTGAGAGAGAGAGCTCAGTGTCTGTGTGTGTGAGAGAGCTCAGTGTCTGTGTGTGTGAGAGAGCTCTGTGTCTGTGTGAGAGAGAGAGAGCTCAGTGTCTGTGTGTGTGGGAGAGCTCTGTGTCTGTGTGTGTGAGAGAGCTCTGTGTCTGTGTGTGTGAGAGAGCTCTGTGTCTGTGTGTGTGAGAGAGCTCTGTGTCTGTGTGAGAGAGAGAGAGCTCAGTGTCTGTGTGTGTGGGAGAGCTCTGTGTCTGTGTGTGTGAGAGAGCTCTGTGTCTGTGTGAGAGAGAGAGAGCTCAGTGCCTGTGTGTGTGTGAGAGAGAGAGAGAGCTCAGTGCCTGTGTCTGTGTGTGAGAGAGAGAGAGAGCTCAGTGCCTGTGTCTGTGTGAGAGAGAGAGAGAGCTCAGTGCCTGTGTGTGTGTGTGAGAGAGAGAGATAGAGAGAGCTCAGTGCCTGTGTGTGAGAGAGAGCTCAGTGCCTGTGTCTGTGTGTGTGTGAGACAAACAGACAGACAGAGAGGAGCTCAGTGCCTGTATCTGTGACAGACAGACAGACAGACAGACAGACAGACAGACAGACAGACGGACAGAGAGGAGCTCAGTGGTACAGCCACAGCTCATGCCCGCGAGTTCTTGCCAGTCTGTGGCCAGCGTGTGCACAGTGAGAGAGAGAGAGAGAGAGCGTGGCACGTGTCCGGTCACTAGAGAGAGCGAGCGAGCAGGAGCCCGAGACACATACATTGCAGTAACAATAATAATAATAATAATCCTTGCATTCGATACAGCGCCTTATCACGTCGTCGAGACGTCTCAAAGCGCTTTGTACGATACATCGTAAAGTGAATCGACTGTATATTTCGCGGGCGAAACGCGGCAGCCAATTGCGCACAGCAGCGTCACCCCCCCACAAACAGCCGTGGATTGAAGTGACCGAATTATTATTACCTGCCCGGGAATCGCACCCAGGTCCTCTCGCTTGGCGAGGCGAGTGCTCTAACCGCCGCGCTACAGGACTCCTGTGTTTGAGATAGAGAGGAGCAATGTCTGTGAGAGACTGCGTGGGTGAGACAGAAGAAGAATATATTAATAATAATCCTTGATTTCGACACAGCGCCTCATTGTGTTGTCAGGACATCTCTCAAAGTGCTTCGCAGGATACAGCGTAAAGCGGATTGACTGCGTATTTTGTGCGTGGAATGATATGTACGAGACTGTCTGTGGGGGAGACAGAGGAGCAACATATGTATATAGATGTAGTAACAATCCTTACATTTAATACAGCGCCTTCTCACGTTATCGAGACGTCTCAAAGCGCTTCACAAGATATACTGTGAAGTGTAGTGACTGTATATTGTGTGGGCAAAATGCGGCAGCCAACTGCGCACAGCAGTGTGCCACAAACGGGCTACGGAGTAAGGGACCCATTTGATTTTTTCTCGTTTGTCTTTTATCTCTGGGAGAAACATGCCACAGGATCTTCAACACCTCCCGACAACGCAAACCCCCCCCCCCCCCTCCCCGCCACCCCCCAACGCCGCATCGTGGAGTCCTGTAGCTCAGTGGTTAGAGCACTCGCTTTGCAAGTGAGAGACCCGAGTTCAATTCCAGGCAGAGGGCGAAACCTTGGGCAAGTTTCCTTACTCCACACAGAGCCTAATAATAATCCCTCCAAAACCAAAAACAATAATAAATTGGTCATTTTAAATCCACGACTGTTTGTGGGACATTGCTGTGCGCAATTGGCTGCCGCGTTCGCCCACAAATATGCAGTCGATTCACTTTACAGTGTGTTCTGTGAAACGCTTTGTGACGTCCTCCCGACGTGAAAAGCGCTATATCAAATGCAAGGATTATTATTATTATTATTGGAACATCAGCGTCGACGATGTGATTCCAGTTCCTGACGTGGGGCTTGAACCCGCAAGCTTCCGATTCAGAGGGGGGAGTGCTCCCGCTGGGTCGGGTTGACACACGTACGCGAGAGAGTAACCCTTCGCACAAAGGCTTAAGACAAAATTGTGGAACGCTCTACCCCAGAAAGCCGTAGAGATGGAATCGAGAGAGATGTTTGAAAGAGAGAAGGACAGATACTTGCGTGGTAGATGGGTATAGG